TTCACCAGCACACCGCAAGCCGCACTGAATCCCACAGAGCCCGCTGCACACTGACTGCTACCTGTCAGCTTACTGACAGTCCGCAGCGCCGTCTGTCAGCTCGAAGAGAAGCATGTGACGCGCCACGCACCAAGGGTCGACCAGACTTCGCTGGGACCCGAAGCGGTTCATATTAGGCTAGCCCCACATGGCACCAGGGGTATCGTGATCGATCGAACCACCCACCCGCAAAGGAGAACGGAGAGTCTCGCGCGAGACCAGAAACAGGGCCGAGGCTATTGCGAGGGGCGAGGTCCAATTTGAGGCGTGTGCGAAAACAAATGAAACACGGACCGAAAAACTAGCTCGGGCTGCGGCGACGGCCTAGGGTCATTTCGAACATTGCGGAACCTTTGAAGCTTGATGATACTCAAGGCCGCGCCCTCCGCCTCCTTCTTCCCCTCACTGTGTCACGCGAGGTTCCCGTGGTGCACGGGCTGGCCGATGAAAGGTTGCGGCTGGCCGATGAAGGGCTGAGCGTCCAGGGGCGCGCTCGCCGCGACTTTCAGCGTATAGCAGCACTCCGATTTGACGCCGGTGTCGGCGTCGAGCTCACGCGCTTCCTGTGCGACGACGCAGGGCGTGCAGAACGCGATCATGCGGAGGTCCACGATGACGCTCGGCCCCCCCCGCCTCGCTCCCGCCGAGCTTTACCCGCAATTGGCGGCGGTAACTCTGGAGCGCGGCACCCACGATGAGCGGCCTGACCAGAGAACTGAGGGTTCCCCAAAAGATCCGAGAAAAGGTACTGGGGCTTTCCCGATTGGCGTTGTATGGGGAGTCATCTCGTTCAGAAATCCTCTCGACGATCAGCACCTGGATGCCTCCCTCACAGACGCTGCCGACAATGCGTGCGAGGAAGAAGATGCCGATCACCATCCAGTATTGCGTGATGCCAGCCGCCTGGTAGGTGTCCCTGGCGCGGCACATTGTGCAAATGCACGCGTGCAGGCAAATGGCGTCTTGTCGTCGGGGCAACCGCAGAGACCGGCCGTGAAGTCGCCCGAGGGGAGCTGCGCTGCCCCACCCTGCAGAGGCGGCCTCTTCTCGGTCGCCTCGCTCTTGCACTTGACAGCGAAGAAGATCGTGCCCAGGCGTCCGCCGACCATGGAACAAGCACTTGCAAGGGAGCATCATGCCAACGATGGCCAGAATAAACAGCGGCAGCAGGAATTCGTCGTCGCCGTCGTGGGACTCCACAACCCACGTGCCGCTCACAACCGCCTCGATCTCCTTCTTGACCTCCTCCTCTTCAGCTTCTGCGCCGTAAGGGTTGCTGCTCTGGCTCTCTGCCAAGCGCCGTGACCTGTGGCCGCATCCAGCGCCCCGCCCTCCAGCGCCCAGCCCTGAAGTGCAATGGAGATCATAAGCCGACACTCGACCACAGTTGTTCTCAGGCCTAGAAGGCCTGGTGTACATTTCGCAAGGTGTGGTTCAACAAGTCTTTGCCGCTGCGGCCCATATTGACGATGCTCCAGGGCCTAGTGTTGTCCGCTTTGTATTCTGGACCTGAGGCACTTATTCTGCAGCCGCACGAGATCAAGAGGCTCGATGTCTTTGCTACGTCCCTTGGGCGCACATATTGAAAATCGGGCATGCACGAAGGCGATTATTCCAAATGTCACTGTTCATTGCGTCAGCATTCCGAACCCGGACGTGCGGAAAAAAACTGGGCATGCCACCCAGCGACTGTGGGCTACGGTTAGGACGGCTGGAGTGGTACCAAGAGCTTGTACGACGCCCGAACGCCCACAGAGGAATTATCATGGTATTGTTCGGCAAAGTATCTTTCGAGGCGGCACACGTCTGACGGTCGGTTGCATCATGCTGCCAACCCGTGGGCACGCCGATTCTGGCACTATGCGTCAACCTTGGAGCCTTACGACGACGCCCACCCGCTCCTCGAGCTCCTCGGAGATCGTCCTATGTTGTTGTTCCAGGATCGGGAGATCACGGACATGCTTCTCAGGGTTGACGTGTCGGTCTTGCGCGCCGACGCTCGTGGTGCCCGTGCACCTCCGCTTGAGTTTCCGCCTCCTGCCGCCCCTCCTCCACAACCTCCTCCCGCACATGGTGGTGTATATCCGTACGTGCATACATGCTTGTTGGACGATGGCAGGGTATGCAACGCAGGTTTCCACACACGCAATGCGCTTACAGCACATGTATCACACACTCGTTCTGGTACCCAGGGATCCCTGTCTTCTGCATATGCGGATACCGTCTCCAATGTATGCCCGTGGTGTCGGCGGGTCTACAAAATCAAGCAAACAGTGAAAGAGCATGCTCAATTATATTTATCACGGCGATATTGTACGGGTCGTGGTAGCAGTACTCATGTGGAGCCCGTGTCTTACACATATATGGCGTGTTCGTAGTGCGGACAGCAGTGCGATGATTTGGATGCTTTGCTGGATCACGTCGTCACCCATTTCACTCCTCCCTCCTCTTCGTCAAAAATGACCAATTCGTCGTAACGCTCAGCCGTTGCCTCATAAAGCTGTTCTTCCGAAGTCCCTGGGCATGGAGGGTTTCCTCAAGCAGAAGCGCGGCAACCCGGGCGGACGGGGTGGAGATCCGAAGGTTCGCGGTGTATCCAAGGGTGATTCGCACGACGATCTCGTGCTACGCTTGCTGCCTGTCATCTCGCAGCTCACTTTGAAGCACGCCCTCGAAATCCGCGAGCTGCAGGCCGCTACCTTCCGAGTCATCCTTACGCCAGTGATGGCTCTAGCAGTGCAGGCCGTGAAGCCTGCAACGCAGCAGTTTGCCGAGGAGTCACGCGCCGCCGGGGGAAAAGGAGCGGCGCCGGTCGGCGAGCCTCACGCTCACACGTGGACGGCTTGGGTGATGAACGCGGTGACTACCTATGCCCTGGAGGAGCAGCGGATGAAGCTCCTCTCGACACACGCGTCTACTATGAAGACCCCCGATCACATTCTCCAACACATCTACGTACGCAACGTAAGGAAAGCGTTCGACAAGGGCCACGTGAAAATTTGCCCCGCCACCAGATCGTCGCCAGACTTATTGGCGCTGGCGGGCGCCGCCATCGCCCACCTCCTCAAGGACGGCAGCAAGGAGAAGCGGGGCTAGGCCCCGCGAGGTAGCAACGAACGCTCCCTCCAGACTTTGTACGATCAGCTGACGGAGGTTGTTGGCGACGGCACGAAGGATGAGTGATGTGTAATGGGAGTACACGCCATTTTGGCTGTGCATGGCCATTTCTTGCTCGTGGTGGCAGGCGCGCAGATGGCCAGGGGACAGGTTGTCTGCCGTACTCAGCGGCGGGCATCTGATAGGCTAGTACCGGTGAGTGTCTTCAGCAGCTGAGTTTTAACAAACACGCCGGAATTGTCCTAACAATCCGGCCGGCTTCAAAAAAGGGGCGAATCCGTCGTAACGCTCCGGCCCCCCTCCTCTCGCCCCCCCTCCGTCCCCCACCCGTTTGGTACGACAGACTCGTCGCCACTGTTTGCCCGGGGCCCACAGAGCAGCCGCCCAAGAGCGGTGGCGTCCGTATTCAAACCGCACGCAATCGTGCACTGAAGGAGTTATGGACGGCGCCCTCCTCCCTCCTGTCTTCCTCGTCCTTCCCCCGTCCGTCGTGTCGTCCTGGTCTCCCCTGGCTGCTCTTCTCGCCCTAAACAAACGCGAAAATAGTTATGTTTTGCCTCGCAATGCCAGTCTCCTGATCTCCGGGCCAGTCTCGTTCTGGGCCCCGTCCCAGGAGGCCCGCTCGCAGATTGCAGGGGCTTTATGCAGTAGCTCCGCTGGCGCGCGCGGAGTGTGCCGCCACGCTGCTCGAGAGTTTATGCTGAGCATAAGCCACTCTCAGCTGAATAGGATTTCCCTCTCGCACAGGTGCTCCGCTCCGCTCCGCTCGTCCTCCTCCTCCTCCTCCTCCTCCTCCTCCTTCTCCTTTTGGAGGCGTGGCCGGTGGCGGCAAACGCTTGCGTGGAGGGCACCTGCCTGACGGGTGCCTGGGGGCGGGTCCCTCCAGCGGACCCAGCAGCACGGAGGTGGCGGAAGGCCGCTCGGAGGATCGCCCCCAGCAGCCCGCTGGGGACGGTGGGCAGGTCGGCCAGAGTGGCGAAGCAGTGGCTGCAGCCACTCCGCTCTGATCTAGTGAGCTGCCTGCTGCAGCGGCTTAGGTGGTGGTGCTGCGTGCGAAAGGCTGCGGACGGCACGGCACGAACCACAACGCCCGGGGCCGCGCCGCGGCCGAGCTGCCCCGCGGGGCAGGGCGGCGACGGCGACGGCGACAGCGACAACAACGAAGACGACGACGACGATCATCTTGCGAACATGTGATTCAACAGGTCTATTTGCCCTTCATTTGTTGTTCCCTCGCCCGTGTATTCGTCCACTACGTCTGTGAACCAAACCCCTTGCTGTGGGCGCTTGTCGCCACACAAGCACTTGAGAGAAGCATTCAGCAGTGCACTCTGCGTGCGAACCACGCCGCCATAGCCGTCATGCAAGCTGACGCGCCCGCGGGCAACTCACCGACGTGTGCGAATTGCAGATAAATCTTCGTAGAGAGCGCCGTTCCTACCATTAGGGGCCTCTCAGGCGTTTCAGAATAAACTGCGAGGAAGTATCGAACGGGAGCCGTTGTCGTCTTACTTGGGTTTTCACGTAACTGCATGAACTGCGAGGAGCGAAAGCGCCGCTCCTGAGTGCGACACTGCATATGACCAGGGCGCACGCCAATACTTTGCGAGGAAGTAACGACCGGGAGCCGTTGTCGTCGCAGCTGGGTTCACCAACCCGAGCGGAGTGCAAGGAAGTCTCGGGCCAAAGCGCCGGCGCCGTTCCTGAGTTAGGGAGCCTCTCTGACCAGGGCGTGTCGGAGTAAATTGCGAGGAAGTATCGAGTGGGAGCCGGTGTCGTCGCAGCTGGGCGTTCATCACCTTGGGTAAATTTCTGGCAAGCCTCGAGCGAGATCGCCGTCCCTG